GTGGTAAATACCAGTTTCTATGGTATGTATGTATGTCGGAGAGTGGTGGAATTGTTTTTCCACCGCGGCACTTAGGCCTTATTAGGCCCTTTGTACACTCTCCTTCATTACTCGAGTACTTTTCTTCAAACCATCCTATTTACTACACGGGTGGCTCGTACAGTTTATGTGTGATAGCATGGTCTTGAGGTACAGAGATTTTCTTTGCTTTGTTTTCATTACCATTTATCGGGGACCACACGCATGCGGCAAATGTTGAGCGACCCAGGTCTCTGGTAGGCTGCCACAGCCACGTCCCCGAGCCTGCCTTAGGTCACCCATCCAAATTCCAGCCTGCGTCCGTGACACCCGGCTAGGCGGTCCCATTACATTTCGGGATGTTTGGAGAACCGTATTGAATCTACTGAATGATAATGAAGAACAAAGTTTTATAAACCGTATTAAGGCGAATAAAACTTCATCTTTCAAACGGTTTTCCAGGTCGAACTTCTCCAAGATCTGTTTCATACCTTGTTATTGAATTCCAGCCTACCTTTTTGTCTTGTAGCTACTGCATCATTTTTCCACTTGCCGTAACTCAGTAGTCGCTTTGTTGCAATCTCTTGGCAATCTACTTGCGTTCAAACAAATGTTTTGTGTCATTGAAAAAGTTCACCATTTCTCTAATCATACTGAAATGAAAAAAAACGCTTAGATTAACAAACCAAAAACTCGCATAGCTTGTACAGCTATTGGCTATTTCTGGAAAGTGGTTATGTGGCATCTTCTGAAGTCAGTTGTCTATGTATTTTGCCCTCCCCCCCCTGTAAAACTTGTTGATGGATAAACAGCTAGGTAACAAACAGACAACTACGTAAATATAAAGCTAATCCTTTCTTTCTTTTATGGTTTAGTATAGTATAGTGATATGGATAGTGAGTTTACCAGCTTGGAGGGGATTTTCAATGATAAGTTCCATGCATTAATAATACTCATGGAAAAACTGACTTAAAACTTATTGCGAATCTCTGGAATTGTCCCTCAGGATGAACAAGTAAGTATTTCTACCTATTTTTCTGGTTTTGTACTATTAACTATGTTTTCTTTTTATAAATAGGCAATTTACACGCATGTGTGTGTGTGTGTGTGTGTGTGTGTGTGTGTGTGTGTGTGTGTGTGTGTGTGTGTGTGTGTGTTAATAAGTGCGAAAAATGGGCATATCGACAATAGCAATGAATTAAAGGATATTGTGGTAACATAACCGAGCTATCGATGGAACCAGCGGTTCCAAAAATGTTTCTTCGTAGTATTGGTAGTCAGTATTAAAAAAATTAACAAAACATATTTCTGTCAATCGAGTTTTTGCTCCTCCATAATAGGCTATTGATTATATCCAAAAAAATAGGATTAAAAGGAACTATGACGTTCAAGCAATTTTATTAGGGTCATTAGAGGGTGGAAATTGGAGATACGGGTGAAAATGCACCCCTTTCAGTTTTTTAATTGTAGCTCGAAAACGAAGCAAAATTCGCTATAGTTCATAGGAAAAATTATTTAGAGAATTGAATTTCCCATCGAAATAGCGAAATAGCTGGAAAGCTATATTATGTAAGAACCTTTTATTTTTCTTTTTAATATAGCATGTACAGTTGCACCTTTTAACTCGTACTCTCTTACGAATCATTATATGATATATAAAAGAGTTTCACATAGCTTTTACAAAGTTATCCAAATTTATGCAAGCGATAAACAAATATTTTAGACGAACCAGCTTCATTTATAATTACATATAAGATTAGGATGCAATCCAAAAGTAATATTTAATTTATTACTGTTAAATAAGTAGTACTCTTATAAATTAAAATAATTGTATTTTAAGCAAAGTGATTCATGCTGTATTAATTTTATTTGTGAAATTTTGGGACGCACGCCGCTGTGCAGTCGCCCAAAGTTGGTCATGGCGTAGCTCAGTCGACAGAATAAACTTGTAACCATTACAACAGGAATTAAATTTAATGATATCGAAAATTTATTAGAGAGCAAAAGGCAACACAAAAGAACTCCTCTAATTGTTCCAACTTTACAAACTTCAGTCATTCCTGTATTGATGAGGGGTATTGCAAATTTCATGCGGAGGCTTTTGTACATTGCGTCCTCTCGTTGGGGGATCGCTTTAATGACTTTCTCTGACAAAAAATGTATTTTTATCATTTAAATGAGGTTTCTCATAATTTTTTTGTGGTATCTGGAAAAAAAATATAATATATTTGTGTGTGTGAGTGTGTTATTATCCACATCGTTTTCGACAAATATAAAGCTGAATAAAAATAAAAGAGAAATTAAATGTTTATGTTATTTTTTTATTACATAGGGTGTAATAAAACAGGATATTTTAAGAAGCAATTTTTTTTGCAAATCCACATACATATATGACATAAATGCTTAGTTAAGTTCTGAAGATGGTTCTCCTTAAATATTTCCGAAACGTCTGAAGATACGTAAATAAAATCTTGCACATACTTTAAACTTTTTATGCCTTCTAATGTAAAATTAGAAATAAAATTAGGTACGCCAGGCAGACTAAAAGGACTATGAAGTTAATAGTATCTTAGTTCTTTGGGGCTATTTTTCTCGGAATTTGAAATTTCTAAGATTTTCTGACAAAAATTGAGTTTAGTGTCATGGGGCATCACATATAAAAACTGTTCATAATGTATTCGTTCAAATTGTTTAGATATTAATGTAATTTTTACGTTTATTTATGACAAAAATATTTTGCACTTCTTTTTTAACAACTAAAAATGTATTACCCAAGCACAGCATTCCTTTCAACTCCCATAAAGGAAAGTACGCACTCTTTCAAAAATTTCAGATGTGTTATGCCCCGTATTACAAATGGAATCATATGATTTATAAGATTATTTTCATTTAGGCCAATGAATAGAGCATTAAATCAGTGATTTTTATGACAAAAATACTAGTAAAAAACGGACTGTACCATCATATAAAAGACAGTCTGTAGATATACGCTTATATGTTTCCTACTCCAATTTACCATTAATTAATTTTATACATAACATTTTTATGCAAAAAACGCTTTTTTTATTCGTTTTTTTGCTTGCGAAGCAATCTGAATGCTATAAAAAGACAATTTGTAGGGAATCGAAATATGAATAAAACGAGAGGTCGATCGATCCGATCGGATAATTAGAAATGACGAAAAATCAGGAAAAATCGGAAAATGTAGCGTTTCTTGAAATATTCATTATTCCGCCATTTTTTATGTTGTAGAGCTGACACAAAAGTAGTGAGTTGTATGTACGTTAAGTGTGCACAAAGCAGGCGCTATTGGACCATTAGTTCTGGCACAATTGCAATTTGAATTTTTTGGTGGACTATTTTGCAAAACTATTAGATGCGTTGGAGTTGGTCTGATTTTAATTTTTCAGCCGGATTTAAATACTACAAAACGTATATTCCAATTTTCCGATAAAATGATGCGAAATAGGTGAAAAATTCCTCCGAATATACCCAAAAACGGCCGAGCGCGCGTACGCGGTCGAGTAGTCGGGAGATGAGGGGCATTTTCCTGTTTTTGTCTGAAATAAACTTTTAAATTACTTTTTCATCAATGTTTGATAATTGATTTTTCAATAGATAGCACTGTAAATATTGTTCATCTGTTTTTACAATCAAATTTAAACTTTTACAATCTTTTAAAAAACACAAGAAACAATACGTAGGTAACAGAATTTTAAACCACACGTAAACAAATTACGTTTAATAGGAAAAGAAAGTGGTGAATAGCTATTATTTGGCCTCGCACACCATTACACCCTAAGACTTGGAGGGAAGTGAAGGTCATATTCATCCCCTAAACAAGTAGGTTGGATTATACATCCCCAAAAGCATATCGACTTATCAGTCTGACCTCGTTTATGTTAAAAACTATGGAAAAACTGTGCGAGCTATATATAAGGGATGGTATACTGACAAACAGACAGTTATCCCAATCAACATGTATATACCCCAGGGAGATCTACCGACACTGCCCTCCACCTAGTGGTGGGTAGGATCGAAAAATCCTTGGATAATAATGAATCCACCATAGAGGGGGCATTCGATAAGACAACGTTCTCAAAAATGAATTCAGCTCTCTGAACAGAGGTATTCCCCTCACCATCTGTAGCTGAATATTAAATATGCTTCCCAAGAGAGGTATAAAAATTAGTGTTGCAGATGCCTCCGTGAGAGAAATTGTTGCCAGAGGCTGTCCGTACCACTGCTATGGAACTTGGCCACCTCAATTCGAAGGGTTTCTGTACAATTGTAACCTAAGAATTATCGAAAAATGGTGTGAGGACCATGCTCTGTCTGTCAACCCCAGGAAGGCGGAGATGGTCCTCTTTTCCAGGAAGAGGAAACTGGGGCTACTAAAGGCACCGACTCTTCTAAACACCACGCCAAGCAAAGTGAAGTATCTTGGAGTCACACTCGATGCAAAGGTAACATGGAATCTTCACTTGGAGAGAAGAATAAAAAAGGCGTACATATCCTATGAGCAGTGCCGCAGAACCGTTGGTAAAATTTGGGAGATGAAACCAAAGCTAATCATGTGCTTTAGTGAGACCAATGTTGGCCTACGGAGCTTTTGTCTGGTGGCTAAAAACCCAACAGAGAAAAGAATATCTTGTCTGAGCGTTACAGGAGCTATGCGAACAACACCAACGTTAGCAATGGAAGTGATGCTATGTCTGCCACCGTTAGATATTTATTTAAAGGAGGTAGCTCTGACAACTATGCTTTGCTCGAAGAACGTTGATGTTAAATCAAATGTAGGATGTGGAGAAGTCAGTTGTCGCCTATGGAATGAGGTCGTCATGAAGATGCCTCTTCTGCAGGCAGACACTGATAGAATTTCTTCTAAGTTTGTGTTTGACAGACCCCACACAGTACCCATCAAAAACAAGGAGAAGACCGCAAGTGAGGATGTAATTAACATCTTCACTGACAGATCAAAAAGGAAAGAAGATACAGGATGTGGGATCTATTCTATATCCATACACATCCGATATCAGTGGGCTATGCACATACGTNGACGATATAGACTTTTTTCCTGGGACCTTCCTGAACACAATGCAGAAAACCGCATCTCGATATCTGCTTCACCTAAAAATTTCCGCTATTCCGGTCGATTTTGATCTAAATGCCCTGGACTATTACTGCACCTCAATAAAAACAAATGGCTTCTTAAAGGTATGGTAGCCGCGTATACTTTGGAAATGAAATGCCAATATGCGACACTTTTATTACCGGTACTTTATAATCTACTGGATATCGATGCGACGGGCGCATAGCAGATGATATGCATATGCACGTTTCCGCGGTTCCCCATGCTCACATATTTATCGTACATATCGTTCAACTTTATACATTATAATTATATTCTGATTATTTGATTATTATGTTAACTCTATTAATGAAATTTTATGAATAAATGGTGTTTTTCTACAAACTGTTGCATCTTGTTCTTATTTCAAAAGTAACGATTGTAAATGCCGTATTTCACAAAAAAACTGAAGAACTTTTGATATTTTTAATTATACATTTATAAATACAAAGCTGTGTGTAAAAAGCAAGACTTTATCTGAATGCAAGTTAAGAACAATTGCCAAGACAATCCAGGTATAGCTTGCTCTACACACGCATATTGTCCAGGTAAGAACGATTCGGAGTCGGGATTTGGAACCTAGCCTGGTCCACTATAATGCTTTTTATTGCAGTCTCCTTGGAGTTCGCATTAAGGCATATAAAATTATTTTTAGAATGAAGGTAAGAGTAGTGACTATATATCAGATAAGAGTGCGATATTAATTTTTATATCAAAGCAAACTTGTATTAAAAAAATCGAATAATTTTTAGTAATAATGAACATTTTATATAAAAATGTTTATTAATTAATATACACATATTGAGATTCACATTATTTTTTTATTATTTGTTATTTCAAAAAACTTCGTGTAATGTACGTGTTGAAGCACACTGCATATTCCATTTTTTTTGTCAATTAACAATTTTGTCGTTTATAACAGTAAGTTAACAAAATTAATTGAAAAATGTTGAATGAAAAACATAAAATAAACAGTGTACCTGAACATAAATATTTCTTACTTTTTGAAAAATATATTATATAAGTTTATTATAAGAGCACGGTTTCAATCACACAGACGAGCCGGCGAAGCAAGAAGAGCGCCAGAAGAAAGGGCACTGGCCGGCGGGGCCCACAAAGCGCCTACACCGGCTGCATTTGCGGTCGGGGTAGACGACGGATGGGGCCCACCTACGAAGGCTGTCCAGGCCTACACGAGATGAGGCAGGATAAAGAGGGATAATCCCCCTCGATCCCAAATCATTGAGGCCAATTTCTAGCCATAGAATAATGGCGCGGTTTCAATAATTCAATATGCATTTCAACGCCAATGCAGCCAACTTACTTTTGTATGAGATAGCATGTTTTTTTCTTAAAGATCTGAGCTAGCATGTTTTTCAAGCTTAATTTGAGGTAGCATTTTTTTCAAGTACAATTTTAGATAGCAGGTTTTCCAAGTTAAATTTAAGGTAGCATGATTTCGTAGTAACGCGTCGTTGTGCACTATGGGGTTGCTTATTATACTAAAATCTTTGTATCTTTTCCATTGCGTCACTGTTTTCATATAATTGAAATGTCATCTTGACAATTCCCAAATCTGGATTTATGGCAAATTTTAATACTGGTGTTACTGGATATGAAAATATGCCAAAAAATCGATATTTCAACGCTCATAAAATATACAGGGTGATTCAGTCATAATGTTATTAATTTTAACCACGTTAAAAGGCTTAAAGGAAGGCTTAATAAAGACAGAAAATCGGAAAAAAAATTTTTTACTCGACTTTTAAAAATTAAGGAAATCGACCCATAACTCCCGCTACGAGGGCGGCCCTGGCCGATGCCCGGATGCTTGGAAAATTTTGTAACGTAATGTCACGAACAGTTGTTGGCTAAAGGAACATCGTTGCCAAGTTCACATCATAATGTATGGTTCACATTTACCTACTGTTAAACGTGTTCAAGTAAATAAAGGAGCTTGCTGCATTTTATTATAAATAATTTTAACTAATTGTATTAACTTAGTGTAGAATGTTTTAACGAGCCTGACTTCTCGAAGTAAACTTTTCGTTAAAAGAAAATAAATAAAGCAGAGGTAGTTGCCTGTTTGTAGGCACACCGTATTTTATCAAATAAAAACGTCGGCACACTACTAAATACCCAAATATACAAAATACACTACACACGGTTACAAAACCATTACCTAACAATTTAAAGCGTTTATTCAAATCTACCACCCTCCATATCTCCCGCATTTTTCCCGCAAAGGAGTTAACATAACACATTTTCAAAAAGTTCAAGCTTTAGAAGCAGCTGATTTCCCCAATCGTCTTGAATTTTGCAATTGGTTCCTAAGTGCAGCAGAACTTTATTAACAAAGTGCTCTGGACGGATGAATGCCGTTTTATTTGTGCTGGCATTTTAAACAGGTAAAAAATATAAGTATTGCTTTTTCAAAAACAATAAGTGCCTACCTAGGTTACACCAAAGTTTAGATTTACACTAAAGTTTACATTTATTATGTAAACTTTGGTTATACGCAACTGCATATTGAATCACGTACCGAGTTGTTTACTTGTCTCCGTCCGATTGTTTTTTTATCTTCTATTACTTACAATCAGTATTTAAATACTACATACATTTCACCCTCTCTTTATAATTTATCTAGTGAGTGTTGGTTTTTTTTGTCATTATTTTTGTAATGAAATTGAAATGGTTGTGAAATGAAATTTAAATTACTTGAACTCTTGGAGTTCTGTAACTTCCATATTAAATTTTATTTAAAGTGAAACAGAGCTAATTTCTTTGCAGCCATAATAGTCACATTTGATCAGATGAAAACTGGCACACTACTCGTCGGTTTAGCTTTCAGAGGAGGTTCGGTGTCAACGTATGGGCAGGAGTATATGGCGATCGTTTAATTCGGCCGCATTTTCTAATGAACATCTGAATGGGCCACGTTACTATATGCACGACGGAGATCCGGCCCATTTTGCTCGCGATGTCCGTGGATTTTTAGTAGACGATCAATGTCCCAATCGGTGGATAGGGAGATCAGGGCCCATAATCCTATGGACTTCTGTATATGGGGTTATATGAAATCTGTCGCGTATCACACCGAGGTAGAGAATGTAGAGCAGTTGCGGAATCGTATCGAAGATGCCGCTGAAGAAATACGTAACAACCCTGGTTTATTCCATCGCATCCGCCGCTCATCTATCTAACGTGTACACTTGTGAATAGACGGTAACGGTAATGTATTTGAACATTTGCTTACAGCAAAAAATTAACATTATGATGTTAATAAAAACTGATTTTTGGCAAGGCATGCTCAGACCTCGAGGTTCTTGCTGGGCAACAATAACAATTTAATGTGTTGATTGCATAATTATAAAAAATAATTTATAGCATTTTAAATTATTATTTGCTGACGTGAGCAAATCGTTTATTTATTGTCTTTATATGAGCGAAAATATATAAATATGGCAACGTTGAATCTAGGGTGCGTTGTTCATATCGTAGCCGTGCTCAAATTTTAAATAACCGACGACGTCAGCCGGTCAGTAACAGCCTGAAAAGGGGGTTAAATAATGATTTGAAAATATTTTTTTTCAGCTTAAATATGCATTTAAATTTTTTTTTAATCACGCCATCGTATTATACTCATTTTTCTTTATCTGCTCTTAAAATTAATGACATTATGACTGAATCACCCTGTATATAACAGTTAGTGCGGAGACGCGATCAAAAGAAGTGTCAAATTTTTAATCTGAGAGTCAGTCCTGTTTTTAAATGCGCTAGTCAAACTAATCTAAAATTAATACCCAACAAACGTCCACCATTTTCTTTCACTCTATCACTCTAATACACATAAAATATTGAAACGATTGTCTGTGATAGATTGAGACTATGAATACATTTGTATCTCTTTTTAGCGCGTTTAATAATGAATACACGTCCGCAACGACTGTCTTTGATATTAGGACACACGCGTGACGTAATGCCAATATTAAAACGGTTCTACTATATTTGGCGTATGTGACGTCACTACTAAAAGGTCTATTGTGTTGTAACAATGTTTTCAGAGGAATATTATTCAAAGTCCTTGTTATCAATGTTACAAAATGTGCTTTTTCCGTTACTTGCACAATGGGAAGCTTTGAGACAAGAACAAGAATTTAGTTCCATGTAACTTCAATCTAGTTAAAAAGTTTATATTCAATTATTTTATAAAAATGTGTAATTTGCTAAATCTATCTGCTAAGAACATAAATGGTTTTATTTATAAAATATATTAATTTTTCTCTTAGTTATTGATCTTCATTCTCTTTATTTTGTTTCAGGTTTGGGGAGTACGCTATAATCATGACAGTAATAAAATTGTTTCAGTTTCAGAAGATAAATCAATAAATGTTTATACTTGTCCATCATAATATATTAAATAATATGAAATTTTACTGTAAGGCATTTGATATATTACAATAAAAAATAATTAACATTGTGAATTGAAGTGAATCATTTTTTCGGTATGTGATATAACAGCTGTACATGTTGACCTATTTTAGTAGGGATTGTTGGATACAAGCTAAACAGTGGTAGAAGGAAAATAACTAATATGTCTCATGCTCTTTTTTCAAGCTTACTTTGATGTAGGGTTACCAGATGTGAAACATATGTAAAGTATGACAATTGTAACAAAAAAGAATGACTTTCAATGAAAAAAGAGGATATTTTTTTTTAACATTTTGCATAACAGCATAATATTGCACATTGCATAATATTGCGTTAATAAATGGAATAAAAACTTTATAAAATGAAAAAAATAAAGAATGTGAAACAATAAAAATAAAACATTATAACATATTATAAAATATTAAAACCAAAATATATTTAGATTCTCATTCTGTACATCGAATTCGGAAGAAAGTTTTAATCAACTAAACTGAACTACGTTGCCGGCGGAAAAAAATTTCGAGCAAGTGGAAGTGCAGCAATTTTTATTGATATTATTTTTAAAAATCCGGACAGAGGGGAAATCCGGCCGGACAATTA